CCCTGTGAGGTGAGTTGGGCTGAGAGAGAATGACTGGCCCAAAGTCACCCAGCTGGCTTTCCTGTCCAAGGCGGGACTAGAATCACTGTCTCCTGCTTTCTAGCCTGGTGCCTTCACCACTAGACCAAACTGGCTCTCACGTACCTTTTGTCCTAATGTTCTAGGAGTCATTGAGGTTGAATCCTCCACATACTAGACGGTGGGGATAGGAATCTGAGCAGATGTGAAGGGAGGTGCCTACAGGGAATATTGTTGTCTGTGAGTCACATTGGTGCCCAAAGGCACCATGTTGGAGATCTGGGACAATTTTGTCTTTAAAATGAAAGCAGAAAGCCTTGGGATAATAGCTTCTTGCACTCACATGAACAAGCTTATACATTAGGCAAATTTTAGAACAGGAGGAAGTAAAAACCCTTCTCACTGCACATTTGTTCCAAAGAGCTGTTGTGTCAGTTTGATATTAGGCCCAAGTTCTTTTGACACATTCAGTGCACATGCTTCACCAGAGGCACTCCGATCCATGATCTTAACAAACAAATTCTCACTCTAATAGCTCAAACTGAATGTTTTCTCCTGATAAGCTGAAGCTTTTTAAAAAAAAGAAAAAAAGAAAAGAAATCTAGACACCTTATCTCAAGAAAACAGGAAGGAAAGGTTATTCTCTACTACACGGCAGGTACCTCACCTTGAAAGTTTCCCTGTGATTGGCACAGAACACCCAAGGTTGTAAAACTTTTAAACAGAGGCCTGCATAATTACCAAATCATTATTAATTATATCAGAGAACTCCAAGGCAAGGCAAAGGAAACAAAAGACCTGATGGAGTCTCTTCTGTTGTTGGAAAGAATAATTACAGCCATAAGTGTACTCAAGAATGAGAGCAGAACACAGTTGGTGTTCCAAGATTTGACTGTGACAGGCATGTTAAGAGAAGTACAAGAATGGGAGATTACTACAATGATTAGAAATTAAAACACTCCCACCTGGTTACCTTTTTGTTGTACGCTGCCCAGAGTCACTTGTCGTGAGATGGGTGGCTATATCATGCAAGCCATGGCATTCCCTGTGACACTCCATGG